ATTGGTTCATGCATCCTGGTTGTAATTGGTTCATGCATCCTGGTTGTAATTGGTTCATGCATCCTGGTTGTAATTGGTTCATGCATTCTGGTTGTAATTGGTTCATGCATCCTGGTTGTAATTGGTTCATGCATCCTGGTTGTAATTGGTTCATGCATCCTGGTTGTAATTGGTTCATGCATTCTGGTTGTAATTGGTTCATGCATCCTGGTTGTAATTGGTTCATGCATCCTGGTTGTAATTGGTTCATGCATCCTGGTTGTAATTGGTTCATGCATCCTGGTTGTAATTGGTTCATGCATCCTGGTTGTAATTGGTTCATGCATCATGGTTGTAATTGGTTCATGCATCCTGGTTGTAATTGTTTCATGCATCCTGGTTGTAATTGGTTCATGCATCCTGGTTGTAATTGGTTCATGCATCCTGGTTGTAATTGGTTCGTGCATCCTGGTTGTAATTGTTTCATGCATCCTGGTTGTAATTGGTTCATGCATCCTGGTTATAATTGGTTCATGCATCGTGGTTGTAATTGGTTCATGCATTCTGGTTGTAATTGGTTCATGCATTCTGGTTGTAATTGGTTCATGCATCCTGGTTGTAATTGGTTCATGCATCCTGGTTGTAATTGGTTCATGCATCCTGGTTGTAATTGGTTCATGCATCCTGGTTGTAATTGGTTCATGCATCCTGGTTGTAATTGGTTCATGCATCCTGGTTGTAATGGGTTCATGCATTCTGGTTGTTATTGGTTCATGCATCCTGGTTGTAATTGGTTCATGCATCCTGGTTGTAATTGGTTCATGCATTCTGGTTGTAATTGGTTCATGCATCCTGGTTGTAATTGGTTCATGCATTCTGGTTGTAATTGGTTCATGCATTCTGGTTGTAATTGGTTCATGCATCCTGGTTGTAATTGGTTCATGCATCCTGGTTGTAATTGGTTCATGCATCCTGGTTGTAATTGGTTCATGCATTCTGGTTGTAACAGGTTCATGCATCCTGGTTGTAATTGGTTCATGCATCCTGGTTGTAATTGGTTCATGCATCCTGGTTGTAATTGGTTCATGCATCCTGGTTGTAATTGGTTCATGCATCCTGGTTGTAATTGGTTCGTGCATCCTGGTTGTAATTGTTTCATGCATCCTGGTTGTAATTGGTTCATGCATCCTGGTTATAATTGGTTCATGCATCGTGGTTGTAATTGGTTCATGCATTCTGGTTGTAATTGGTTCATGCATTCTGGTTGTAATTGGTTCATGCATCCTGGTTGTAAGTGGTTCATGCATCCTGGTTGTAATTGGTTCATGCATCCTGGTTGTAATTGGTTCATGCATCCTGGTTGTAATTGGTTCATGCATCCTGGTTGTAATTGGTTCATGCATTCTGGTTGTTATTGGTTCATGCATCCTGGTTGTAATTGGTTCTTGCATCCTGGTTGTAATTGGTTCATGCATCATGGTTGGAATTGGTTCATGCATCCTGGTTGTAATTGGTTCATGCATCCTGGTTGTAATTGGTTCATGCATCCTGGTTGTAATTGGTTCATGCATCCTGGTTGTAATTGGTTCATGCATTCTGGTTGTAATTGGTTCTTGCATCCTGGTTGTAATTGGTTCATGCATCCTGGTTGTAATTGGTTCATGCATCCTGGTTGTAATTGGTTCATGCATCCTGGTTGTAATTGGTTCATGCATCCTGGTTGTAATTGGTTCATGCATCCTGGTTGTAATTGGTTCATGCATTCTGGTTGTAATTGGTTCATGCATCGTGGTTGTAATTGGTTCATGCATCCTGGTTGTAATTGTTTCATGCATCGTGGTTGTAATTGTTTCATGCATTCTGGTTGTAATTGGTTCATGCATCCTGGTTGTAATTGGTTCATGCATCCTGGTTGTAATTGGTTCATGCATCCTGGTTGTAATTGGTTCATGCATTCTTGTTGTAATTGTTTCATGCATCCTGGTTGTAATTGGTTCATGCATCCTGGTTGTAATTGGTTCATGCATCGTGGTTGTAATTGGTTCATGCATCCTGGTTGTAATTGGTTCATGCATCCTGGTTGTAATTGGTTCATGCATCCTGGTTGTAACTGTTTCATGCATCGTGGTTGTAATTGGTTCATGCATCCTGGTTGTAATTGTTTCATGCATCCTGGTTGTAATTGGTTCATGCATCCTGGTTGTAATTGGTTCATGCATCCTGGTTGTAATTGGTTCATGCATCCTGGTTGTAATTGGTTCATGCATCCTGGTTGTAATTGGTTCATGCATCCTGGTTGTAATTGGTTCATGCATCCTGGTTGTAATTGGTTCATGCATCCTGGTTGTAATTGTTTCATGCACCCTGGTTGTAATTGTTTCATGCATCCTGGTTGTAATTGGTTCATGCATCTTGGTTGTAATTGGTTCATGCATCGTGGTTGTAATTGGTTCATGCATCCTGGTTGTAATTGGTTCATGCATCCTGGTTGTAATTGGTTCATGCATCCTGGTTGTAATTGTTTCATGCATCTTGGTTGTAATTGTTTCATGCATCCTGGTTGTAATTGGTTCATGCATCCTGGTTGTAATTGTTTCATGCATCCTGGTTGTAATTGTTTCATGCATCCTGGTTGTAATTGGTTCATGCATCGTGGTTGTAATTGGTTCATGCATCGTGGTTGTAATTGGTTCATGCATCGTGGTTGTAATTGGTTCATGCATCGTCGTTGTAATTGTTTCATGCATCCTGGTTGTAATTGGTTCGTGCATCCTGGTTGTAATTGGTTCATGCATCCTGGTTGTAATTGGTTCAGGCATCCTGGTTGTAACTGTTTCATGCATCCTGGTTGTAATTGTTTCATGCATCCTGGTTGTAATTGGTTCATGCATCGTGGTTGTAATTGGTTCATGCATCGTGGTTGTAATTGGTTCATGCATCCTGGTTGTAATTGGTTCATGCATTCTGGTTGTAATTGGTTCATGCATCGTCGTTGTAATCGTTTCATGCATCCTGGTTGTAATTGGTTCATGCATCCTGGTTGTAATTGGTTCATGCATCCTGGTTGTAATTGGTTCATGCATCCTGGTTGTAATTGGTTCATGCATCCTGGTTGTAATTGTTTCATGCATCCTGGTTGTAATTGTTTCATGCATCCTGGTTGTAATTGGTTCATGCATCCTGGTTGTAATTGTTTCATGCATCCTGGTTGTAATTGGTTCATGCATCCTGGTTGTAATTGTTTCATGCATCCTGGTTGTAATTGGTTCATGCATCCTGGTTGTAATTGTTTCATGCATCCTGGTTGTAATTGTTTCATGCATCCTGGTTGTAATTGGTTCATGCATCTTGGTTGTAATTGGTTCATGCATCGTGGTTGTAATTGGTTCATGCATCCTGGTTGTAATTGGTTCATGCATCCTGGTTGTAATTGGTTCATGCATCCTGGTTGTAATTGTTTCATGCATCTTGGTTGTAATTGTTTCATGCATCCTGGTTGTAATTGGTTCATGCATCCTGGTTGTAATTGTTTCATGCATCCTGGTTGTAATTGTTTCATGCATCCTGGTTGTAATTGGTTCATGCATCGTGGTTGTAATTGGTTCATGCATCGTGGTTGTAATTGGTTCATGCATCGTGGTTGTAATTGGTTCATGCATCGTCGTTGTAATTGTTTCATGCATCCTGGTTGTAATTGGTTCGTGCATCCTGGTTGTAATTGGTTCATGCATCCTGGTTGTAATTGGTTCAGGCATCCTGGTTGTAACTGTTTCATGCATCCTGGTTGTAATTGTTTCATGCATCCTGGTTGTAATTGGTTCATGCATCCTGGTTGTAATTGGTTCATGCATCCTGGTTGTAATTGGTTCATGCATCCTGTTTGTAATTGGTTCATGCATTCTGGTTGTAATTGGTTCATGCATCGTCGTTGTAATCGTTTCATGCATCCTGGTTGTAATTGGTTCATGCATCCTGGTTGTAATTGGTTCATGCATCCTGGTTGTAATTGGTTCATGCATCCTGGTTGTAATTGGTTCATGCATCCTGGTTGTAATTGTTTCATGCATTCTGGTTGTAATTGTTTCATGCATCCTGGTTGTAATTGGTTCATGCATCCTGGTTGTAATTGTTTCATGCATCCTGGTTGTAATTGTTTCATGCATCCTGGTTGTAATTGGTTCATGCATCTTGGTTGTAATTGGTTCATGCATCGTGGTTGTAATTGGTTCATGCATCCTGGTTGTAATTGGTTCATGCATTCTGGTTGTAATTGGTTCATGCATCCTGGTTGTAATTGTTTCATGCATCCTGGTTGTAATTGTTTCATGCATCCTGGTTGTAATTGGTTCATGCATCCTGGTTGTAATTGTTTCATGCATCCTGGTTGTAATTGTTTCATGCATCCTGGTTGTAATTGGTTCATGCATCGTGGTTGTAATTGGTTCATGCATCGTGGTTGTAATTGGTTCATGCATTCTGGTTGTAATTGGTTCATGCATCGTCGTTGTAATTGTTTCATGCATCCTGGTTGTAATTGGTTCGTGCATCCTGGATGTAATTGGTTCATGCATCCTGGTTGTAATTGTTTCATGCATCCTGGTTGTAATTGTTTCATGCATCCTGGTTGTAATTGTTTCATGCATCCTGGTTGTAATTGTTTCATGCATCCTGGTTGTAATTGTTTCATGCATCCTGGTTGTAATTGGTTCATGCATTCTGGTTGTAATTGGTTCATGCATCGTCGTTGTAATTGTTTCATGCATCCTGGTTGTAATTGTTTCATGCATCCTGGTTGTAATTGGTTCATGCATCCTGGTTGTAATTGTTTCATGCATCCTGGTTGTAATTGTTTCATGCATCCTGGTTGTAATTGTTTCATGCATCTTGGTTGTAATTGTTTCATGCATCCTGGTTGTAATTGTTTCATGCATCCTGGTTGTAATTGTTTCATGCATCCTGGTTGTAATTGTTTCATGCATCCTGGTTGTAATTGGTTCATGCATTCTGGTTGTAATTGGTTCATGCATTCTGGTTGTAATTGTTTCACGCATCCTGGTTGTAATTGGTCAATCCAACCCTTTCTCTCCAGACTCCTCTGTCCGAGCTCAGTGTTCTCGCTGCTTGTTCTCTTGCCTCCTTCTCTCCACCCCTTTCTCTCTTTCCCTTCACCCTTCACCCTCCACACCTCCCCTCCCTGTGGGTGTCCATCCCCCTTGGCATGGCATGGCATGGCATGGCAGGTACGGCTTGAGGCTAACGAACGTGTCGCTGCCAGCGGTGCTGCTGAGGGAGGACGACTGGAGGCAGCTCGTGCAGCACGCCCACACCGGCAGGCCGGGCGCCGTCACACTCAGAGGCGCTGAGTCCCGCCTCGAGGAGGCTCTTGCGCTCGCAGTGAGGAAAGCTATATCGAGGATGGAGGAGGACAGGCGAGCTGCAGGGGGCGAGCGGGGGGATGAGCGAGGGGGCAGAGGGGGGCGAGGGGCGGTGCAGCAGCAGGTGTCAGTAAGGGCGGTGCAGGAGTATGCGAGGCGGCTGGCGCCGCTGGTAGGGGTGGGTCGCGGATTCACATGCAGCGTAGGGTGGGTGCAGCAGTTCATGCAGCGCTGGGGGTTCCACCCTCCTGGGGGCACTGCAGGAGGCGGTGGTGGGGCGAGGGGGCGAGGGGGCCGGCTGGGTGGGAGGAGAGGGGAGGATGGTCGGACAGAGGACGAACTTGAAGAAGGGGGAGGGGAGGAGGGGGAGGAGAGTGAGGGGCAGGGAGGAGTGAGTGCGAGGATAAGGGGGATACTGGACGAGCGGTGTGAAGTGCGGCAGGAGGAGGTGGCAGCGCTGGTGGCGGTGGCAGAGCAGCAGCGGGAGAGGCGCGCTCAGATCAAGGCGAGTGGGCGCCGGCTGACGGACGTGCGCGAGGAGGAGTGGATAGAAGAGGGGCGGCACGATGGTGCTGGTGGGCGGGGCAGGGCTGCAGGGGATGGGATGGAGAGTGATGGGGGGGATGGGGGCGTGACTGGAGACAGCGATGGCGCCTTGGACGTGACGGACAATGATGGTGCTGGTGGTTTTGACACAGACACTGACCTTGACCTGCCCGCCGCTCATGCCAATACCAACCCCCGTGCTGCTGCCACTGCTATTGCGTTTACTCCTTGTGCCCCTCCTGCCATCACTGCACAACGTGCTGTACATGTTGCTGCTGCTAATGCTGCTGCCACTGCCACTGCCACTGCTGTTACTGCTGCTGCTGCCCCCACGCATGCCCCCATCACCCCGCCACCTCAAGTGAGCACCCTGCTGGCGTCACTGGCCGGCGTGCGGGTGGCATCTGCCGCCCAGGCCGCCCCTCAGCTGCAGTGTGCGTGGGCTGCCCTTGCGGCAGCCACGCCGTTCCCCCGGCAGCTCACAGCGCACCGCGCGGCAGAGGTGGCGCGCGCATGGCGCCGCCTTGAGAGGTCCCGCGTGCTGCTGTGGGAGGGGGGTGCTGGGAGCGAGGGGGGTGCTGGGAGCGAGAGCAGTGAGAGCATGAGCGTAGAGGAAATTGGAGGGATGGGCAGCAGCATGGAGGAGTGGGAGTCGAAGGAGGGGATAGTTGGCGTGGTGGCAGGGAGGAGCGCAGGAGGGGGCATGCCTGGTGGCCGAGGGAGGAAGAGGAGGAGGAGCGGGGATGAGCAGGACGGTGTGGTGGCATCACGGGCCGGGGCAGCAGCAGCAGTGAGGGGAGCAGCAGGTGGAGGGCGGTTGGCAGGAGGCGGGCAGGGGTCAGCGGGCATGGCAGCACCGCTGCTGGCCCCGGAGCTCATAGTGGCGGCGGCCCTGCGAGCTGCTCTTGCTCCCCACCCCGTGCCCGCCCACCCCATGCCCGCCCCGCCTGCTGCCCACGCCCTGCGCTTCCCGTTCCCCCACGCTGCGCCACCCGCCACCACCGCACTGCACTCCCTCGCACAGCTGCTTGCATCTGCTGGCTTGCCGTCGGGCCTACTCCCTGTCGCCAGGCCATACGGCCCTGCCTGGGGCCAGCACCTACTCACTGCGCCTCGCCCTTCCTCCCACGTTGCTCCCTCTCTGCCAACGCCACCTCCCCCCCGGTCGCTCACTGCGCTCCTCACTTCAATCACGTCCAACCAACCACCTCCCTTCACCACACCTGCGCCTGCTCCCGCCAATGCCTCTATGGCAGCACGAGCAGCTGCTACTGAACCTGTGCCACCTGCTGCTGCCACCGCAACACCTTCTCCTGCTGCTGCTCCCGTTGCTCCTTCTTCTGCTCCCGTTGCTCCTTCTTCTGCTGTTCTTGCTCTCAACGTTTCCACTCCCGCTGCCGCTCCTGCGTCCGCTCCTCCTATTCTTTCTGCTAATTCTTCAGCCCCCAGTACTGCCAGCAGTGCTGCAACTAATCCAGCTTTTGCCACACCTGAGTCTACTGTTGCTGCAATTGATTCTGCTACTTCTGCTGCTCCACTGATCAAAGTTGCTACTGCCACTGCACCTGCTGCTACTGCCACTGCACCTGCTGCTACTGCAACTGCACCTGCTGCCGCTGCAGCAGCGGCAACTGCAACCGATGTCCCGGAGGTCAGTCCTACACCAGCTCTTTCACCTCAAGCTGCCTCTGCGCCTCTTGCTGCTGCCCTCACTGAAACTGATGCTGCTACGGGCAACCATAGATCACCACTTTCAGCTGTACCTGCAGCTACTGCCATTGCACCTGCTGCTGTGGCCACTGCGCTTGCTGCTAGTGTGGCTGCTCCAACAACTGATTCTGCTGTTGGTTCTGACACTCCCTCACAGAAGTCATGAATAGAGTCCAGTCCACTAACCAACTACGCGTACGACTCCAACTTTTCGGAAGACCAAGCTCGTGTCAAAATTATGCATTTGTTAGTTGTAGGCTACACTAAGGTGCTCACTAAGGAATACAGCACTAGTAGGGTTTGGTACTTGTATCACCCTTTTGTTAGTTCATTACAATCCGCTATGCTACTGAGCTTCAACATCGTATCATTGTAGGCCGTTCCTAGGATCCTAGCCCGCCGACCTCCTTAAGACCGTTAGCTCCAATCGCTTCGCGCCCTCTCCGGCCAGAACGCAACACACAGCGCACACCAGCCAGCCTACCAACCACAACCTACCAGCCAGCCAATTGCCAGTCAGCCAGCCAGTCGCTAGCCAGCCAGAACACCACCAGTTGCCAGCCAGTGAGCGCCCGCAGCCGACAGCGCGCGCCGCCAGCCAGCGAGCGCCCCACCAGCCTTATGCACGCGCGTTGGCAGCTGGTGCATTCGCCGCAGCCTGCGCGCCCTGCCAGCGCGCGAAAGCAGCAGTGTGTATGTACAGCCAGCGCGCAGCAGCAGCAGCCCGCGCGCGCATTCACAAGCGCGTGCTCTGCCAGCGCACGGCACTAACAGCGCATGCACCTCACCAGCCCACGGCAGCAGCAGCCCGCGCGCGCGCGCTTTGCCAGGAGGAGACACGTGCAGCATTCACACGCCCCGCTAGCCAGGGCACACCCCGCTAGCAGGAGACATGTGCAGCCCTCGCACGCCCCACTAACCAGCACGCGCCCTGCTAGTACGCCTCCTGCCCACTAATAGCGCGCACCGCTAGCCACCAAGTCTAGGGTTTAGGGTGTATTACTTGGTGGCTGCCAGCTGCTGTTGGGAGTGTCATTGGCGAAGTAGAAGGTGTGAGGCGGTAGGCACAGCTGGCTTTCGCCATGGCGTCCGCTTAAGTTCTGCAGCAGCAGCAGCAGGGGCAGCCATAGCAGCAGCAGAAGCATTTCCAGCAATGGGACCTCAGCAGCTTTGGCGCCCTTAGCAGCAGTGGGGGCCTGGTGGTCCGGGGAGCATCGGACGCACCAACGGCCCAAACAGCTACGGGGCTCGTCACAGTATCCGAAACGTCAGGCCCGGCTAGTATCAGATTCTGGCTGGCCCTGGTGCTGGCACTACTAGCAGGCATCCTGACCACTCGGCATTGCGCTGATTTAGTCGCCTCGATGACCTCTATCATGAGCGCTTTGGATCTGACTAGGTTCCCCTGTACTTGCATGCTCTGCTTTGCCATGGCTACCAAGTGTTTGGTATGTCCTTCGATGATGCTCGTTCTGTTGTATACATTGTAGGACAAGCACGGGTGTGTCAACGGGAGTTGTGTATTGGCCCCGTCCTCGCTTGGGCGGAGCCGACTTCGTGGTCGGATGTGAGGGGAGCAGCCGACCTGTAGCAGTGGGTGAACTGGTCGACGAGGAGGTCGACCTGCACGGGGGACCACTGCACGGGCGCCGACTTCAGGGTGGCGCCGACTTCAGGGAGGTCGACTTGGGTGTCGACCTGCGGAGGACGTCAACTTGGTGACGTCAACTTGGGGAAGCCGACTTTGGCAGTCGGCTAACGGACTGCTGGTCGACCTGTTAGTGGTCGACTGGACCTACTGGTCGACGAAGGAGGGGCCGACGTCGACCTCGACTCAGGACGCCGAGCAGTTGGGCGTCGAGTAGCGGGGTGTCAACTTCGTGACGCCAGCTTCGGGTGGCCGACGTGGGTGGTCGGCCGACGACTGTGCTGGTCGACGAGGAGCAGGTCGACCAGGAGTGCTGGTCGACGTGGAGCTGGTCGACCAGAGGGGATGTCGACCTAGAGGAGGTCGACCGATGGTGTCGTCGATCTGGTGAGGTCGACGTGGAGGTGGTCGTCGACTTGGGAGGTCGACAGGCACGTACGGGAGCTGCTGGTCGACGTGGTTGCCTGGTCGACCAGGTTACCTGGGTGACGAAGTGCTGCGGAGGAGTGCGACGGTCGCCCAGGCGAAGTTGGCGAGCCCGACCTCGGTGGTGGTATCCCGAGGTCGTCGTGGCGGATCAGAGGCAGTCGTCAGCTCGAGGTTGACGTGGTGTGTGCGCTGTGCAGGTGACAAGACTCTGTGCGCCAATCATCTGCGTACAACTGCGAAGCAGGGTGCACTGCTGTCCTGCGAGAGCAACGCTGTCACGCCGTCAACCTGCGACGTTGGCACGCCGTCGACCTTGCCTTGCTGGAGTGCGGTCGACCAAGTCGTGCTGGAACGCGGTCGACCAAGCTGCGCTGGCAGTTGGCCGACCTGAATGCTTGCTCTGATGTAGTCTTGCTATGCCAACTTCATTGTATCAATTGTTCTGAATTTTTCCTAGTGAAACTCTTGCCAATTTTCCCCGTGAACTAGCAAGGAGTGTGAACACAAGGAAAACGACTAAGGAACAGAGAACGCAGAGATCACACGAGCACACGTGCCTAGCCCGCAGCCTAGCTCCCGTTGCTGCAGTTATCTCCGCATGGTGCGGTGAGCGTGGAAGACACCGCGACGTAGCTCAGTCTAGCCGACTTAGCACATCCCGATCGTATTCGTAGACCGGCAGCCGTGCAGTTACTAGCGTGCGCGTAGGCGACGCCGAGGTGATGGATACCCTGGAGGGACGGCTGGAGGATGCGAGGAGACGCCATGAGGCCCAGGAGTATGGGGCGATACCCTGGGCAGTCGTCGAAGCCGGACTGCGCTCCGTGTGGGCGGCGGAGCACCCCCCTTCCCGACCTGCCTCTCCTCGACCGGTGAACAATGACGGCGGCGTCGACGTGGGTGTCAACGCCGGTGGAGGTCAGGTCAGCAGCAGTGCGGGAGGCACGTCGAGGCAGAGAGGTGTGATACACGCCGGTGAAGTCGGCGGCGTTCAGGCGCGAGGGATGCAGTCGTCGGCGGCTGCAGACGCTTCGCGGGGTGACGTCGGAGGTCGACGGAGTGGACTGTCGGCGATGTCGGCGTCCCAGGTGACGGCAGGTGGGATTGCACCGAGCTACGGCTACTTCAAGTTTACGCCGGACAGGATCTCGGTCACCCCTCCGCTGGTCGGTCGACCTGACATTCTCACCTGGAAGGAAGCCATCGAGCCCCAGCTGGAGATGGCCGGGCTGATCGGCTTCGCCCGAGGGACCGTGGCGACGCCGGGGGAGCACCACCCCGACCTGCGTGCGGAGTTTCGCGCCGTGCAGCTGTTGACCTTTACGGTCATCTCGCGGTGCTGCTCGCTGGGCGTGCAGATCGCCTTGAAGTGGTGCCGGGAGTACCTCGACGCTGGCCACCGAGCGTGGCACTTCATTGAGTCGACGTACCAGGTCACCAACGACCTGTTCATCGCCCAGCTGGAGGGACAGCTGACGCACCTGCGTATGGGTGACGAGGAGACAGCGACCGACTACTGCAACCGGGCACGGCGAATTCTCGCCACCATCAGGATGGTCGGCGCGCAGTACTCCACGGCGTCGTACATCACCCATGTCATGCAGGGTCTCTCTAGCAGCTACAACCTGCTGAAGCGGCTGTCTATGGCGCCGAGCACAAGGGCGACGCTCAACGAGGACAACCTAACCTCGTATATCCTGCAGGACGAGGCGATGTAGGAGGCTGAGCGGTCGCAGGAGCTCTTGGCACAGGCGAACTTGGTCACCTCAGCGAAGCAAGGAGGTCGACCGGGGCAGCGTGGGCAATCCGGCGGTGGCGGTACCAGTGGCTGGAAGCCGGCCAAGGAGGTCGACAAGAGGAAGTCGACCAAGGACAGCGGTCGTGGAGGAGGAGGTCGACGTCGGGAGTGCTGGCTGTGCGGCGATCCCGATCATCTCTCCTTCGAGTGTCCCAACCGCAGCGACTCCGACAACGACGATGCTAAGGGAGGCCGTGGGAGGTCTGGCAGCCGCCGTCCTCGTCGTGGAGGCAACCAGCCGCGCAAGGAGAAGCAGTCGACCAAGACATCGACTTCGGCGAAGGACGCCGACTCCGTTGCAAGCGGAAAGGGGCGAGACGACAAGACGGCGTCGTGCTCGCTGGTCGGCGTTGTGGAGCCAACCATCTCTCTGGAACCGGAGGCCGGAGAGGACTTTCAGGCGGTGGCGGCAGCTGTGCAGGCGAACCCGGAGGTGGTCCTGCTCGACAGTGGTTGCTCCCACCACCTGATGGGGACGAAGGAGGTCTTCGTCGACCTGCAGCCGAGCGGCGCCATCAGGCATGTGCGCGGCTTCAATGGGGCGCTGCAGGATGTCCAGGGCTACGGCACCGTCGCCCTGCAAGGAGAGGCCGGGAAGCAGGTGCTCATCCCCGACGTGTTGTACGTCCCGGGTGTGCGAGCCAACCTGCTGTCGGCCGGCCAACTGAAGGAGCATGGCGTGAAGCTGCAGGAGGACGGAGACGGCATGCTGCTCGTCTCGGCAGCGGGGGAGGTGCTCGGGCGGGCGACGTACTCTGGACGAGTCCTCTGCACCGACCTGCGTCCCTGCGCGACGAGGTCGACGCCGCCCACGACGAAGGTGGTGGCTCTGCGGGCGATCGTCTCGAAGACGAAGTCGACGCCGCACCGGATGCATGCGAGGCTTGC